CCTAGAGTACTCTTTACAAATTTTTACACGGACGAAGTCGCGTGTAACAGTTAGTTAGCTAATTACTCAGATTACCAATTGCAGCTTCGTGGATGATACTTTGTACCAAAGCGAAACTTCGTGCGTTTGACAACCCTGGTAGGACCTTGGGCGAATTAAATGCACAAAGGGAGATACCGCACCTTGATACTGGGAGATAGTCCAACTTTATGGGGACTTTTGTTCTATGGGGGTGAAGTTATACTTGTCACTTGCCAAGGAAATTCATTCCATACAAAATTAACTGCAATTAACTCATTTAATATTTATGGAATTATTAAAGCTAATATACAGATAGGGTAGTGATTAAGAAGACAGACTCGCATAGAGTGGTCGCAGATTCATTGTTTGATAACACAAATTGTGTTCATGAATATGACTATAATCATAATAATATTTCAGGACGATTCACACAATGGCATCTAATCTGTCTAAATCTAATCTGTATATTATCTAAGCAGATTCGATACTTAACACGGAAACATTGTGTGTATTGGTCTGTGTATTTTGTATGTACTGACTGGGCGGTAGGGAAAAAATTAAAATTACAATGTAAAAAGTTTGACGTTCATTAGCGATTAAAATGTCCTACATGAATAAATGATTTTTGAATTATGAATGTATATTATGTACTCATATGTATTTACAAAAATGTATTTATGTATTTATAACAGTTGTATAGTGTCCATAATACAGCTCTGCTTAGTTTGAGACTTTCATAACGCTGTATGTATTGTTCAGGATTATTATTATTGTTAAGTATATATGTATTACTGTATCTTAAAGTGCGGCTTCTAGCTTTTTTATTCTATCTCCCAGGTAGCCTATAAGAGATTGCTGTAAGCGATAAGGCCGCCTTTTGGTTAGTACATTAATGTAAAGTTTTATTTTGTATATATATATTTTTTTTCACACAATTCACACAGCGCCATCTAGACCCAAGTTAAGCTAGCTAAAGCTTGTGTTATGGGTACTAGACAACAGATACAAATACATAGATATTTTTTTTTTCGTAAATACATACATATTATACATATAAAACACCCAGACCGATACAAACAATCATACTCATGAATACAAATGTTTGTGCCATGCGAGGAATCGAACCCGCGACCATCGGTAGTAAGGCGGTGTGCTAAACCGCTAGACCACCGAGGTATCAAATTAAAATATTACTAATTTTAATTTGATACCGTCAGTAATTTTGCCAATACAGGTACAGGTATAAAATAATTGTCAAGATAATATAACACTTATATGTGTTAGACATAGTGTCGGATTTACAATATTGTGTGCAACTAATGAGAAATCAGGTAGTCAGTAATTTACCAATCCAAAAAACTACATGTCAAGTTAATATAACACTTATATGTGTTAGACATACCGTCGGATTTACAATAATGTATGCAACCAATGAGATATCAGATACAGTCAGTAAATTATCAATCTAAAAAAAATGTCAAGATAATATGATACTTATATGTAATAGACATAGTGTCGGTTTACCAACCGGCATTACCAACGAGAAATCAGGTTGTTAGAAATTTACCAATCCAAAAAATGAATGTCAAGATAATATGACACTTATATGTATTATATATAGCGTCAGATTTACAATAAGGTGTACAACCAATGAGAAATCAAGTCCAGTCAGTAATTTATCAATCCAAAGAAATAAATGTCAAGATAATATGATACTTATATGTATTAGACATAGTGTCGAATTCAGAGAAAAATCCAGTAATTATTTAATTCATTATTCATACAAGAAAGTTGTGTAACAATAATGTGTCCCCCAAGTATGCAGTCTCATTTGAATTTCGAATGTAAAAGGAGAGAGCATGTCATCCTTTCTCCTTTTATATTCGAAATTCAAATGAAACTCACTCTCTCATATAGTACATTCGCTCGTTAAAATCTCGTTCGCCCCAAAAAGTTTTGTTAACGAGAAATTCTGTAGAAGTAATTTAAAGTTTAAGAAGTAAGCACATTAGAACCTTATGTATATACGGATAAGTACTAAATACAAATTCAGCGTATAATTACATAGGCTATTATTGATTCGGATGGCAGTGTACCGAAAACTTTAATGGAATTTTCTTTTTAAGAATAGCACCTGGACGATCGTGCTTCGCTTCGCGTTGTAGAATTGTGTATTTGCAGGAAGTGTACTCGTATTTAATTTAGATAAATCATGACAGAGCGGCCGGGCTTCGTACCAGTGTTTCTTTTTGAAATACATTCTCGAAGATAATTATTTAAAAAAAAAGTATGAAGTAAAAATAAGAATGTTGTTTTTTTTTAATTGGTAACTATATCTAATGGACATTTATCGTACCAGTAATCGAAGTCCAAACAATTAATTTTGAAGTTCTTTAATCTTTAATCGAAATATTATTATCATCATTGCCTTACCTTCATTCCATTATTTGGGGTCGGTAATTAACAATGTACATTGACGTTAAATTTGATTAAAATTTGTTTAGCCGTATAGTCATTAAAAGGTAACAGAGAGATAAACGTAATCACTTTCATATATATAATAATAATAATAGATGTTTTTTCAGAGTAAATAATAATTGTTTATTGTAAACAAAATTTTGAACCTGAAACCTCAAACACACTGCTATAACTTACTGAGCTACTGGGGTTAACAAATATAGATAAAATAAATAAGGTTCGAATAAAAAAACACAAAGTCTTTTGTGAAAATGAGAAGACTGTGTAAAAACATTTGGAATTTAATGAGCGAGTATCCGCTCCACAAATCACTTAATGAGAACCGAAACCGAGGGAAATATTCAAGCTTTACTGCTTTTTGTTTTATTTACAATTGATTATCTATATTTGTACATCTGTTGTAAAAAAAAATATAGGGATGACATAAATGTAAATGGAAACATCATTACCGGAGAGTCAAACAGAATTCTATTTTTGGTTTCGGCCAGACTTGAACTCACGACTTTCAGTCTAAGTTATGGTGATAAAGAGTAGAATAGAATAGAAAATCATTTATTCAAATAAACTTAATTGAAGCACTTTTGAATGGTCATAACAATTTGTTTTTCATCTACCACTCGTTCGGAAAGCTGTCTCATCACAAGAAGAACGAGCAAGAAACATGTGTGTTGTGTTAAATAATCCTTGTAAGTTTACATTTACAAGTCGAAACGTGTGAATACAAACTACCAACCAGCACTAATTTTTTTGGGTCATATATAAATATACAATAAGATTAAATTAGTCGCAGTGATAAGAGCAGACCAGTCCCTACAAGCAACACTCGTTCACGAGTATGACGGATGAGTCAGTCATCACTGCGCTCGTCCATATTTTAGGGATTCCAATACTATGTAAGTACTAAGCTATGATGCTCGATTCGAGATTGTTAGTAATGTGAGATGACCCTATTGGTCTCTGGTCAGCTTGACCTCCACGCAGTTCTCCCAGGAAACCATCATGATAAATTCCTGATGAATTTGTCACTATGGGCTAACTGATCTGACCTCATGTTCATTTTATCATTCGCTTTTTGCTCAGACTACTAAAAAACTACTAATACAACTAGGATATTGCTCCTAGATATATTAGAAGATTTGTTTAATATTATAATTAATTAAAAACAAATGTAAATAATTAAAATAAATTACTCCACAACATATTTTTTTCTATCTTAAAGACAACACAACAGTTTCTAGAGATTTAAATTGAAGCTTTATTACAAAAGTAATTACGGTGTAATTTCATTTGAACATTTCCAAGAAATTAAATTAAACGACACAAATTCTGCATTCGAATGCAACGTTCGAAATACAAAATTTTTAATTTGTTGTTTTTAAAACAAATATTGTATTCCATTTAATCAAATAACAGCGTTCTATTTTCAAATAGAATAAAACATTTAAAACAGGAGCTCGTTTTAAAAATTCATAACCATTTTACGAGAAAGTCTGGTGTTGAACATTTCCATGTAATGTCACAGACAGAATATTTAAACAATCAACTGTCAATTTCCACCATTAGAATAATTAGCTGGCTGCTAAAAATTGCGAAAATATGGTAACAAACTTAGTATTACAAAAAACATATTCCGTTCAGAAACAAAAATGTTATGTACGTTGTTTTTTAGTTTGAAAAGATATAGTAGTGATGTTGGGATACATACATAGATATAACAAGATTTAAAATAATAATAAACTATACCTATAAATAAAATTGTAGTGTCTCTTTGTAATATTGAAATAACTGTTTTTTACTACATGCATATGAATATGTATACGGTACATATACCAAAATACCATTCTTTATAATTTTTGTCTGTCTGTCTGTTTGTTCCGGCTAATCTCTGAAATGGCTGGACCGATTTTGACGAAACTTTTTTTGGCAGGTAGGTGTTGTAATAAAGAGTAACTTAGGACTACTTTTATTTTAGAAAAATAAAGTAAAATTCCACGCGGACGAAGTCGCGGCTACAGCTAGTAATAAATAAACTCTAACAATATTTCCTCTATATAAAACACTCAGGATAATAACACAGCTCTATCTAATGCCAAGCTATGCAGAGATGTTATAGAAACCTAGTAAACGATGGATGCAAATATTGAAATACATTTTTTATTACACACTAGCTGTTCCCGCGATTTCGTCCGCGTGGAATTAACTTTATTTTTTAAAAATAAAAGTAGCCTAAGTTACTCCTTATTACATCAGCTACCTGCAGAAAAAAGTCCTGTCACAATCGGTCGAGCCATTTTAGAGATTATCCGGAACAAACAGAATATATATAATATTTATAGAAAACAACCAGTCGAATACAAACAATAGTACTCATACAAAAGTTTGTACTGTACGAGGAATCGAATCCGCGACTATCGGAAGTCGGAAGTAAGTGTTCTAAACCGCTGTACCACCGAAAACGTGAAGAACTGCCTTAAATCTGGATGGTCAATGTTTGAACTTACCTTCGGCGTGTTCACCTCTCGCGTGGAGATGCCCATCTTCTCGTGGTGTCGCAGCTGCACAGGGTATATGATCTGGTAGTAATGCGCCCCAATATTACGGACCAACTCCTGGTTCTGACGGTACTCGCGTAGCAACCGCTCCACTTCGCCTGTTAACAAATATAGAAATATTTTAATATAAACGAAAGATAAATATTTATTCAGTGCTTATATGTAGTAGAAACTAAAACAAAGAAAGAAATAATTATAAATACAATAATTATATGATTATCACTATTTTCATTACCATCATCATTATCGTCATTTAACGAATATAGAAATATTTTAATATAAAGGAAAGATAAATATTTATTCAGTGCTTACAGGAGAAACTAAAACAAAGAAAGAAATAATTATAAAGAAATAATTATAAATACAATAATTATATGATTATTACTATTTTCATTATCATCATTATTATCGTCATTTACCAAATACAGAAATATTTTAATATAAAGGAAAGATAAATATTTATTCAGTGCTTACAGGAGAAACTAAAACAAAGAAAGAAATAATTATAAATACAATAATTATATGATTATCACCATTTTCATTATCATCATCATTATCGTCATCATTATTATTATCATTATCATTAAATCATTAATATCTATTATAGTTTTTATTATCACAGTTTTTCGAAATTACTGCCCTTCGAAATTTTCTATTTCTATCTAAAGCTTAGAAAGCCTCATGGCACTAACCTTTCGTACACGTGATATTGTAGAATAAAGAATATAGAAAACTTTGTTATTTTCATTCCCATTATAATTGGATTATTCTAATCTTAATATGAAATAAAGATTTTTATTTATACAGTGCTTACAATAGAATCAAAACAAACAGTAATAATTATAAATATTATAATAATTATATAAATATCATCATTATAATTATCATTACTATTATTTTTGTTATCTTTGCTATTTTCTACTATAATTTTTCAAAATAAAAAAAACTGACTTTGGAGATTGATATATATATACTTTGTAAATATATACATAATATACGTAACAATCATGTATAAATATAATCGTACAATGTTTACACCGTGCGAGGAATCAATCCTGTGACCAACGGAAATAAGGCTATATACCGCTAGACTCCGTGGGCGATTATCCAAAAAATATAATAATGTCCGTACAGTTTATCTTTGTACCATACGAGGAATCGATCCCACGAGCGTCAAAAATAAGCTTGCATGCTAGATCACCGTGACCGACTATCTAATTAGAAACTTATATAAATAACAATAATGTCAGTACTATAATTTGGTGGTATGAATATTCTGCGTAAACCTGAAGTGCCTTTCCATGGCTACAACAAAAAGAGGACGAGGCAGGCCACCGACTATCTGGTTGACAAATGTCCATAGGGACATGAAGGAGTTGGGTCTGTCAAATGACGATGCTTACCAGCGAAATGTATTGCGCTCCAAGATTAAAAAATTACGGGGTAATACCCCAGTAACAGTAACCCCAGTAACGGGAAGAAACGAGGATGAAGAAGAAGAAGAATGTCAGTACCATAAATTAGAGAATAATTCCGGGAAATTTGTATTAATAATATTCAAAACTTTGTGAGCCTACGATAAATGTCAGGAAAATCTTTAATCAAATTTAAATGAAGCTAAAACCGTTCTTAAGTAAAGTTTACATTTCATAGTAAATGCTAATAATGTCCGAAACATGTTCCCACTAAATATTCAGCATTTGAAGAGCAAAGTTTTGCGATACAAGTTTTATTCGATTGTTGATTTCGAGTTGTAGGTATATATTATCTTAATAATTACAGTTGCCAACTCGCTCGACAGCTCCACGTCAAATATTAACCGAGTTATTTTCTGCGCTTAAAATATTAAACTGTTATTTTATAGATAACAATTCAGAGAGTTTACAGCTAAAAATAACTGTTATATTTCATTATGTCAATATTTCCGAGTTACCAAGCTATAATACATACTATAGGAGGGAAATGGGATTGTTAGTAATGTGGACTGATGACCTTATTGCCAGCAATGTACCATGTCAGGTCGATCTCCACGCGGTTCCCCCTGGAAACCATCGTGAGAAATTCTTAGTGAATCTGTCACGATGGGCTAACTGATCTGACCTCATGTTCATCTTATTATCCTCCACTGGTGCCCCGCCAGAGTAAACCGTTAGGGCAGGCAGGTGCACCATTCCATTATCATCCATAAAAAAAAATACATACTATATATTACAGAGTTTACTTCGCGTAGCTTACTCTGCGTCACCTTTACTTGATATTTATTATATTTCGCCCAATTTACATAATATATGTCTAAATTATAGACTATGTGTTATTCTTCTGTATAAGCTATATTACTGTAAAGTTACATCAATATCAGTTAAGAAGTTTTTGCGTGAATGAGTAAGAAACATCCATACATCCATACTCACAAACTTTCGCGTTTGTAATATTAGTAATTGTATGTATAATAAGATAGGTATTGTAAATATATATAGTTACTAGCTGTCCCGGCAAACGTTGTTTTGCCATATAAATTAATAACGCTATAAAAAAATAGGGGTTGATGATAGAAAGGTGAAAATTTATGATTGTATGTATTTTTGTATGTTGTATCATAAAAAAATAGAAACTAAAAATGTTGTCTAAAAAATATAAAATAAAATTTAGGCGTGGACTACCCCTAACATTTAGGGGGGTGAAAAATAGATGTTGGCCGATTCTCAGACCTACTCAATACGCTCACAAAATTTCATGAGAATCGGTCAAGACGTTTCGGAGGAGTATGGGAACGAAAACTGTGACACGAGAATTTTATATATAAGATATGTACCTTATCAGTATCATTATTTATATTATCAAACGAGCAACACCAATAATTTTATACCTTTATTTGCCATAAAATTATTCGTGTTAAGACCCGGTTAATATAATATAAATAATGTATATTAAACACGAAAGTTTAAAAACAGCTATAATTATTAATATCATCGATAAAAATAAGAACAATACTGAAGAAGTTATAGTATTTATAATATATATATATATATATACTCTAATGCTGTTGGCCGCAGCCGTTTCAGCTTCACCGGACGATAGGGGGCGAGTGCAGATGGCACTCCAAACCCGCAGAAGGACTTATGGAGCGGCTGATAGCCAACTCCCGCCTGACGGATACGACTTTAGTCTGAGGGCACCCCTAGGAGTTCGAATCTCAGCTCAGGCCGTCGTAAAGTCGGTCCCCGTTTGAATTGGACGGGGGATCGATCTGAGAGATTAGCGCTTGTACTTGAAGATAGCTTATAAAACAAGCTGTAAGCTGCAGAAATGTGCGAGACAGAGAGAAAAACTATTTTACAAAGTCTACCTTTATTTATTTCCAATATAATTGGTACCAATGTAATCTCCACAGATCCACATTGTAAGCGGTTCCACAGATCTTAATAAACATTCTCGAAATGCAATTGCATCTCAGAGTTACGGGTCCCGCTGGATCTCGCGACGTGAGCCTGACTTTACGACGTCTTAAACCGAACAATAGGCGGCTAGATTGAAACTCATTTAGGTCATAAGCACCACTTACCTCGAACAAACGGCTGGATTAACATTTATATAGAAAATGCTGGTCGGTTATCGAGGTATGGGGTAATTGAATGATATTGTTAAAGAGTTTATAATGATTAAAGAGGGAAAGTTGTTAATAAATAACAACGAAACAAGAATCTAATGAACGTACTCAAGAAAATAACCTTTTCGGAAAATTTTATTTTAAAGTTCAAATATTGTTTTGTTAGTGCCAAAAATATTTTTTAAAAATATTATTGAGAGCTATTTAGAAGAAGATATTGCCTATTTCACGTGTATCTAAAGCTGCACTGGCAGGGCTCCTTAAACCTACACCCGGGTCATAAGGCCTAGGAACTACTCGAAGTTTCACTCTCTGCTACACGATGGGCCCTATTTTTTTTTTTTTTTTTTTTGGGTTGTTTGGGCTATTGTCAGATGTGTTGTGATGTACCTACATAGATCTATTGTGCTCGCCCTTTTCAGAGTTCGCTACCTAGACCCGTCAGGGACAAGAATTGAAGGATATTCTTAGGAGCGATCGTTTTTATCTCCTCGGGAAAGAGTGTAAACTTTCCAAAGGAGATATTTCGTTTATGCATGAGTGGGCTACAACCACATAGGATGTGGGCCCTAAGTCTTGACTTACGTTACAAAGGGCCCCTAAAACCTACACCCGGGTCACAATGCCCGGGAGCTGCTCGAAGTTTCTCTTTTTCCCACACAATGGACCCGACACCCGTACAGTCAATCCCAGGAATGCTAAGAAGATCGTCTCTTGAAGTTCCATCATCAGTTTAAAATCATTAGTTGGAATTTAATATTAATAAAATCATTAGAAAAGTAGAATAAAAACTTTTGGATGACGAATAAAAACTGTAAAAAAATATTATCTGTAAAATAATTTTAAGTAGAAATAGAAATAAACTTTATTCAAATAAACTCATTACAAACAGTTTTGAATAGTTTTATTTTGATTCTACCACTTTGATTTGATTCTACCAATTTGATTGGGACCGCAGATTTATCACAAGAAACTTGTATGTTGCTTTTTTTACTAAGATACTAACATTAGACTACTTAATTTACTAACGTACGATAAAAATTGTTACAAGTTTCGTTAAATAAAAACACAATACGCTTAGCAAATATAAATCTGGAACCATAAAATCGATTTATAAATTCCCAAGTTTATTTTAAATCAAAACTATTTTCTTATTCATTGCAATCTATCAAATCTATATCTACTCCATATTTTCTATTACATCACTAAAATCTAACGTCGAAACGTTAAAAGTTTAAACTAGTTCCAATATAACGTTTTATAGTCTCTCATAGAAGCGTCTCTGTTTCTAGAACAGTTTTTAAAACTCCTGCTTACATTCTTATAATCGTTGGCGATTATTTGTCGCTCAAGTTAGTCGCTCGGTTTGATAAATTAATAAATATTTATCTCTTTATAATTTTAGCATTTAAAATGCTAAATTTATTCACATAAATGCTAAAACTATAACAAAGCTATGGTATATCTTGAACTGCTTCGTTCTTACTTGAA